CCGGCCCACGCTGCGCCAGGGCTGGGACTGGTCCCGCTGGCGCAGGGTAGCAGGAAACTCTCCGCACACTCACCGGACCTGGGCTAGGACTCGGGTTTATCTTTATAAGTGATTTGTTGCCTTTCTCTAACAGCTTTTAAGATTTTTTAGTCCTATGTTGGACTTCTGAGATTTTGACTCTGATGTGTTTTGGAAAAGCCCTTTTCTGATCATATTTCTTTGGGGTGCTATATGCCTCATTTATCTGTATTATTATATTATCTGTGTATATTATTTCCACATATTTGGAAAGTTTCTTGCCCTTATTTCTCAAAACAGTTTTTATTACATTTGTGCCGTCTTTTCTTTCTCACTAATTCAAATTAATCTTAGATTTTCTTCTTTGTGTCATCTAGCTGCTGTTCTGTAGTTTTCATGTTGTCTTGTTTTAAAGGTACCTGAGTGTGTTGTCATCTGCATCAGCCTTGTCTTCTGATTCAGACATTATCTCTTCACTTTGATCACTACTCCTGCTCATGCTTGCAGTAGAATTCTTATCTCCTATAGTTCTCTTTGATGTCTTTTTATGGATTCTAGTTGTTTGCTAAACTGGTTGTTCATGATTTGTATCATTTTGTTTAACTCATCCAGGTTTTTGCTAGTTTCTTTCTTAAAATAACATCATTTTATTTATTAAATCTATTATCTGTCTAGTTGTATTATCATTGAACTTGCTGAGCCCCTTAAGGACCTGTTGTCCGTCTCCCCCATCCTGTCATTTAATTTGGCTACTTAACTTTTGGTTCCCTCCCCATGCCTGCCCTACAAATCAGATTTGAGGGAGTTGGGAATTTTTGGAGGCATTTTGTTTCCTTGTCATGTTTCTGTTTTTGTTTGTTTTGTGTGTGTGTGTGTGTGTGTGTGTGCGCGCGCACACACGCTGAGGTTTGTGATTCGATTAAAGACTTTGTTGCCAGAATGGAGATCTCTTTAGTCAGTGTCTGCTTCCGAGTACTGTGCGTTGGGTGTAGCCAACTATGTGCAGAGACCATTTACCTCCATTAATTTTGGCCAAGGATGATGCAGTGTAATTGGCCCACTACCCATCCCCCGTAGTGAACAGCAGTGCTGTTGTTAACACAAAGACAATCCAAATATTGTCCTGCATTAAGTACCAGTTAAGAGCAGTTAGTATGCCACCCTGGCAATTGTGGTAGAATCACCAACAATAATAGTTAGAGATGGTTGGATTTTTTTTTTTTTTTCAGAACCAAGGATTGAACTCAGGCCCTTGCTCTTGCCAGGCAAGCACTTATTTACTGAGCTATCTCCCTGACCCCTATGGTTGGATATTGACATACCATAAAACAACAACAAAATAGTATCATGGTACCACCTTTTACAGTAGAAAAGAAATCTGTCATTACATACACAAAGACAAACCAAATATTGACATATAGTAAGTATCTGTTAAGCACAACAGTGATGCCACCATTAACAATAAAATAATAGAAAGAAATGCAACAAGAATTCCAAGATTAATAAAGCTTTGCAACAATAATAGTAAAGATGGAGGGAATGGGGAAGAGGAAGTAGAGGAAGTAAAATTTGAAAAATAAAAGGAAGATAAGCAGGAGGAAAAGTGAGAGAATGAGTTCTGTTAAGGTATAAAAGAAAATTAATAGATAAAAGTAACTGAGAGGAACAAACAAAAAAATGAAAAAAAAAAAAAAAAACCCATAGAGACCAAAATAAAGAGGATAAAAAGAATAAGAAAAGCTCACCCCCGCCCCCACCAGTTAAGGCAGTCCACTGAACTTAACTACAGCACTTTCAGAGCCAGCGTCTTCTAAAAGCCACCAACAACCTGCCAGCCTTGCTTCTCTACTCAGAGGGCATGATCTCTGTGACCTTCCTGGCCTGGGCTTAAACTTCTCAGGGATAGTCAGACCTTCTCTAGCGTCAGAACTGCTTCTCAGTGTGAAATCCAAGATAGTGCTAGCCTGTAAACCTTGAGTGAAGAGAGCATCATTGGAACCTAGAGAATTATAAATGTCATATAAACTTCTTTTAGTGAGGACAGTCTTCTTTCCCACAAGAAATGAGGGCAAGGCCTGAATTTGATTTTACTGTATTTTTTTTGGTTGAACTGGTTTTTAGGAGAGGTTTATTTATTTTTTTGCTTGTTTGTTTTTGGTGCCGAGGACAGAACCCAGGGCTTCCAGCTTGCCAGGCAAGCATTCTGCCGCTGAGCCAAATCCCCAGCCCCCAAGGCCTGAATTTGTAGGGTACATTTTTGTGTATTTGACTAGATAATATATTTCATAATAATTTTTAATGTTTTTATTAGTATATGTTTATAGTACATAATTTTTACATAAACTCATCACAGGGCACTGGTACATGTACATAACACATCTTGAACACATCTTTTGAAGGAAAACACGTTATTCCTGTAATTCTCACCTTGTCTGATGAAGTACCTTACCAGTGACACTTCTGTGTAAAAGCCCCTGATCTCTTTTACCCATCTGGTTACCATGGCACTTCATCTGTACTCAGTTCCAACATTCGAGTTGCATTTAATCTTTTTTTTTTTTTTTAACTAGTAAATAAATTTTAAGTCCCTTGAATGGAGTGGGAATTGTCTTGTTTATTTATTTATTTTTATCCCTTACACCTGTGACAGTATCTGGTATATGGTGGATACTCAGATGATAGTATGGAATAGATAAATGAATGTAGATCTCTAATCACAGCAGCATTAGAGGACCTCTACAAAATCACACCCATGTTATTATCATGTTCTTTTTGTCTTCTTTGGTCTCTTTATTGGCGATCCTACTTCTCTTTGCCTGTTGCATCTCTGGTACAACACTCTGATTTGCTTCCTTCTCTCTATGAATTTGTCCTGTCCTGTGATGTATAAGAATGGATTTGGTAACATGTTACATTTCTACTCTACCCTACCTTAAGAATGCTGATGTCTAGGCAGCTAAAGTATTAATCCTCCACTGAGAAATCACAAAGCAGCTCAGTTCACTAATGCCCTGACCGTTCTCCGTCTTAACAGTGATAAGCTGTTTTTTGAACTTTAGAAATCTGCTGAGCTGTGTGAGTGATCTGTCCCATCTAATCAAACTGTGCAGCTGGAGACATTGACCAGATATGCCTTCCAGCTGAATATGTTGGCATAGGAGGATGATTTGAGGGAGGAGGAAGGAGTCTCCCAAATTTCTGACTCAGATGGTAAAGGGGTGGTGAGGACATTCCAATGAATGGGGAATCAAGGGAGTGTAGACATTGAGGGTATAAAGACTGATAAGTTTAATTATGGATATATTGAGTTTCACAATATCCTAAAGAACATCCAAATGAATGTATAGTGAAGAGCTGGTTGAACAAATGTGAAAATAAGAGAAAAGGTCAAATTTGAGAGATTTTTTTTTTTTTTTTTTTTTTTTTTTGCAGGGGGGCGGGAGACTAAGGATCAAACACAAGATCTTGTGCTTGTCAGGCAGGTGCTTAGGCTGCCGAGCTGCCGCCTTGGCCTGAAAGACACTTGGATGGCAGGGTGGGTGGCCAGTGCTCCACTGAAGCAGAGCATAGAAGGTGTGCAGCAGGGAACATGCCCACTGAATTAGGCAATTGTGAATCCACTGTCCCTGGTTTACAATGCCAGAGCCTTATCCACTAGGCCACTGGGGTGCGGCAGAGAGCTTTTAAATTGTAAGAATGAGTGCTATTTCTCTGGATATAATATAGCATTAGAAACTAGTTTTAAAAACCAAAAATTTAAATGGAAGAACCCATGGAGAGAATGGTCTTAGTATAAAAAAGCCAACAAATTAGCCTACTTACAAAGAAAGCAAAAAATAAATAAAGGAAAAATTGAAAGGATGTGTCAGGAGTGCTAAATCTTGCAGAATAAAAAAATTGCCCTTTGGATTTGATAATCAAGCAGTCAGAATCTTAATGAGAACAATTCTTTCCTTTTCTTTTTTTGTATTTTCTTAGGGCAGGGTCTACAGGGTGTTCAGGGTCTCACTACTAGATTGAACTCATAGTGATTCTCCTTTTTACAGCCTCCTAAGTGCTGGGAATACAGATGTGCGCCACCACACCCAGTCTCAGTCGGCCTCTCAACATGCCCCAGGGGCAGGGCAGGTAAAGCAGGCCAGGGGATTGGACCCCCAGCGCCTGCCTGCTTGCAGGCACTTTAATCTGCTGAGCTATTTGGCTTCCCAAGAACAATTTCAATGAAAGGAAAAATCTCATTATAATTCCTCAAGGGGGGCTGGGGAGATGGCTCAGTGGAATAAGCGCTTAATTCCTCAAGGGCTAAAAACAAGAGGAGACATTGGATAGAGAATGTGTAGGGGATTTTTTTTTAAGTTATCAGAAGAGGATAATTAAGATCTTTAGCCTAGAATCCAAGCCTCCCTTCTAATCCCTTAAAGCCTGACCAGTCTTCTTAAGGGTGGAATGCCTCAGCCAAAACAAGGAGCCATGTGTTGCTTATGAAATTAGGCTGCTGCAGGTTTTCTGCTGCATCCCAGATATTCTGTGCTACAAGCTCCATCTATCCTTTCTCTCTGATTTCCATTTTAAAAAAAGACCTGCTTCAGGGCTCTGCTTTTTGCAGCACCTTGATATACTAGTAGTTCCCTTACCATCCAGTCAGTTGTTATGGTTAAATCTAGGGTGTCCCTTAAATGTCTCATGTGTTCAGAGTGAAGCTTTTAGAAGATGGCAAAGTCTGGGGACACTGTACTCATCCATGGACTAATCCTTAGATTAGTCCATGGATGAGTTCAGAGTTTTATGTGCTGTTGTGGGCCTGGTGGGGAGAAGTGGATCACTAGGTGTGCTTGCAAGGGTGTATTTCACTCCCTTCTGTCTCTACCGCCTGACCACTGTGGTGTGAGCAGCTTTCATGTGCCCCTCTGCTGTGTTGTTTCTGCTTTGCAGCCTGTGCACTAGAGAATAAACTCTTCCTTTATTGAGATATTTTGTCCCAGTGACCAGGAAAGTGAATTAGGCACCAGTATTTGCGCAAGTGGTGGTCTGTGCTTCCATGCTTCCTCTGTAATTAGGAATGCTGTCCTTGTTGCCTTTTGTTTCCTGTTATTTATGGTATTTCTTTTGCCTGTTACTGATGATGTAGCCAGATCTTGGAAAATATAGCTTATAGGATTATATATGGAACACTGACTAACCTCTTTCTATTGTTCACCCCATTTTCTTTGAACACTGTGTGTGTGTGTGTGTGTATTGTATGTATGTATGTATGTGTGTGTGTAGTTTTATTTTGTTGTTTCTGTGTTTTTGAGACGAAGTCTAGCTATATAGGCTGGCCTCAAACTCATGATCGATCCTCCTTCCTCAGCCTTCTGAGCATGCGCCATGCCTGGTGTTGAACTGTTATTCCTGAAGTACTAGAGGTCATGTCTAACCCAGACTCTCCTTTGGAATAACTGAACTATTTATTATTTCTTCCATGCTAGCTGGGTTTCTTCTTCCATTTCTCCAAAAAGCTAAGAACTGAGTAGACTAAAGAAACAAAGTGAAGCAAGACCAGGTTTATTGTACTTTCTGTTCCTGGGGCTCAGGGTACACAGGATTGCAGCCCTCTCACTGTTTAAGAAAATGAACCTGTGCCTCCAAAGCTCAGTGTTGGTTATGGAGAAACCTTATTACCCAAATCTGTTCACTCTGGCTCTTAAACATCTCCAATAAAAATTCATTAGCTTCTTTCCTAATTACCACCAATCTACTCCAGGCACCTTTCACCTGGCTCCACCTCGACTACCATGGCTACCAACTGGTCTATCCTTGCAGCAAACCTTTTGTTTTATTCTCCAGACCTGAAATACTTAATAAAAACATAGATTGATCATTTTATTCTCCTGCGTAACATTCTTCAGTATCATTGTACTTAGCAGAACATACAGATTCTTTGATATGAGTCTTGTAAGGTGTTTCATAATCTGCTTTAGCTTTGTGTCACTTTTTCACGTCACACGACTTCAGCTGTACTCCTCTTTCAGTTCCTATGCTACTGTGTTCAACCTCACCTCCAAACTTCTGTACTTGTAATTCCTTGGTATTTGCTTTATGTATGTTTTAACCACATAAAGGTAACTTCTATTCATTCACTAAAATACAGCATGAATTTTACTTAGGGAAAATTTCCCAATGTGCAAACTTGATTAGTTGTTTTTGCTGGTACACTGATACCATTCTGTGCTTTTTGGTAGGTTTTAATTATTCATTGTTACATTTAAATTTAAGTTATTTATTAATTCGTAGGCTGTAAGCTCTGTAAAGGAAATAACAGTGCTACTTCACTTTTTCTTGTGAATCCTTGTAGATACAATGAACTTTCTCTAAGTGTAGGTATCTTGTTACTGGTAGTGTTTGTGTAGGTCAAATACCATTGTACATTTTTTCTAGTCCTGAGATTATGTTTTTCAAGTAATCAATACAAATTACATGCAGCTGCTTTTAGAGACATACACCTGCAATCCAAGAACTATTGGAGACTGAGACAAAAAGATCACAGGTTGGAGCCCTGCATGGACACCTTAGCTAGATCCTCACCCAAAAAAAAGGCTGGGAATGGAGCTTAGTGAGAAGGCCCTGAATTCAGTCTCCAATTACGCGCGCGCGTGCGCGCGCACACACACACACACACACACACACACAGAGCTCTGTAAATCAGTATAAAAGAATTTTACCTAATTGAGGATATCAAATATTCAGTCACTAATGACATGAAGAAACCTAAGAGATGTTTATAATTTGGAGTATTATAACTGAAATTTTTGAAATTAATGTTATATTTTGTATTCTTTCCAGGTGAAATGAATCAGAAATACAAAGAACTAAAAAAACGAGAAGAAAATATGGACAGTAAGTGATAATTTACAGACATAGGAATCCATTCTCACATTGCTGTTCATTTATTTTAAAAATCACATTAATGAAAAATAAAAAAATCTCATTTTATGGAGATACATAAATATCTGAATTTCTAGCAAAATTTGAAGATGGGTAGAGAGTGTCAAAAGTATATATACATACAGATGATGTCCATTTTGTATCTGTGTATTCAAAGTGGTTAGGATAGATATATAGTTGCATTCTCTTAATGAATAGAATGATTGGTTCTAATGGTGTTTGTAAATAGGATCTCAAGTCTGCATCTTGTACAG